AGGAATAGAGAAAAATACATTATCCTTATATTACTAAACCCACAAGGTATGAAAGGCCAAAGTCAAATTTATTTATATAGCACATTAAACAACAACAGCAGCAGCACCTAGTGCAGCACCTTGGTTGAGCAACCAAGGTGCTGTACAATTAAAATAATCAAAAGAAATAAAAACATAGGAAGACATGATAAAAATTAAGAAAAAGAATAATAAAATTAGAAGATTTGAGTAAGAAATAAGATAAATTAAAGCCAAGAAATAAAGTGGGATTTCAGGCAGGTTTTGAAAGTGTCTAATGTTGGGGAGGTCCTAATGTGAAGGGGCAGTTTGTTCCATAATTTAGGAGCAGTCACAGCAAAGGCCCGATCTCCTCTGTGCTTTAATCTGAACCTCGGAACAGCCAGGAGCATTTGATCCACAGACCTCAGTCATCTTGCAGGAGTGTACCAGCTCAAAAATCAGAAAGGAATGAGGGTGCTGACCCTTAAAAACAAATAATAAAATCTTAAAATCATTTCAAAAACTAACTGGCAGCCAGTGTAATGGTGAAAGTATGGGAGATATGTGTTCTTGCTTGCGTGTGCCAGTTAGTAACCGTGCTGCACAGTTTTGGACCAGCTGCAGACGGCTAACTGATGACAGATGAACACCAGAGTAAAGACAATTACAATATTCGAGTCAAGATGAAATAAAAACATGAATAGCCTTCTCAAATTTTCTGAAACAGAGAAATGGCTTCACTTCAGCAAGTAGCCATTCTCTTTCAGTACAAAACGTCATTTTTCCATGTGTTGAGGTTTTGTTTTGTTTTTTCATTCCTTAATGATAATTTTGCTAAGTTTTTACCAATTTATGTATGTTAATGTGTGGAAAGCTAAGACATTTACTATTTAACAACTGCCAGCGCACATGCAACTGTGTAAAAATAGTTTGACTGAATTAGCAATTTTCTTTTCATTCAAGAATTGTAGCATGTGCCAGTATCGGTACTTGTAAAAGAACAAGCAGAGTCACATGTGAATGCAAGATGCAAGCTGTGACTGGCTACTTCTATACTTCTGACACACCACCAAACCTGTTTACTCAGAATGCACAGGAATTTGGGCATCAACAGGACACAACAGCTCGGCATGCATGACATGGCCTCATTTTGCTTCAGTTAATGTAGAACTGTACAAAAAAGCAAAACTTTTTAAACACACAACTAAAACTTTTTCTAAGGAGGCCTGATTTAATCTTACTGTCACTGCCACCAGATATTTGGTCAGAGCGCCAGACACTCATGTGTGACTGAGGCGATAAGAAAAAAGACAAGACTCATTCAGACCACACAAACACATTGCTGCCAAATTGTTGCTGAAATGTGGTGGTGACTACTAAATGTTGCTGACTGTGAAACATCGACCATAAACATGCATAAACAATTTATTTTTAAGTTATTTGTTTATAATTTTACTTACAATAAAAGAAGTCAGCACAAATCATGATAAGACCACAACTTACTAAAAATATAACAACTCCTGTTACAATTACAATTGATACATAAAAGTAACTGCCTTTATTTGGTGCTGTCTTACAGAAGCATAACTGAGCTTTCACTTAGTTTTATTTGCACCAATCAGAGGTGGAGCATAGCTGGCCCAACATGTTTGTGATAACAAACACTCCACCTGCTGGTGAGTCATTAAATTCTTGTAACTGATAAAATGTAAATAGTTTGATATGATATGCTAGTCTTTTATTTGTTATTTTATTTGTAGAAATTGATTTGAGCTTACATGTGATTAACCATTATGTGTGTTGACGTTATTTTGGTCCTTAATTTTTAATACATTCTGTTACATCGGGGGATCTTACAACACTTTCTTACCATTGGTTATAGCCCACTCATATCTAAAACAATACCTCCTCCTCTTTATGTGAAAAGCAACTGCATCTCAGTGTCATCTCACTCATAAAGCCAGAACATTAAATTCTTGTAACTGATAAAATAATGGCTGGTGTGTACCAAAAAATTGTTATTTAACTATTATTATTTCTTAAAATACTTACATTTTTATTTATCTCTGCAAATTATTTTTTACATTCTTGAACTCTAACACACTAAATTTAAAAAATTAATATTTCATTAAAAATGTATCACATAGCCTTTTACCTGGCACCTTAATGTTGTAATTTGCTGAATCTGAGTAACAATGGTTAAAGACTAGTCCTGAGTCCCCCCCCCCGTTATTGATCCCAAAATATTAAAAGTCACAATTGCTAGGTTTCACTGCTAACACTGCAGACTAACCAGTGCTTAATCTGGTGATGGATTTTATTGGTTGTGATGCAGTGCTCATAGAGCTCTTATAAGCCCCCTGGTGGAAAATACTCATGCAGTAAGACAAAGATTTGATTTATCCCAAGCTTAAAATTTGTCAGGAAACAGTGCTAACCACTGTGCAACTGTGCTGCACTGTACTTTAAAATCAAATTAAGGATGATTTCAAAAATTTAGAACTAGAAGAGCTGAACAAGATTGTTTCTAGTTAACCCAAAACATCTTTTGTTATGAGACTATTTTTGAGCATCAGAGGTACTTCACCTTTACACCTTTCAAACTTTGACATGTGCACAAATAATCTTTCAAGTGAAAATGCAGAAAAAACTGATAGACTTGATTATTTGTGTGTAACATCTCTTGCACTGCTTTTTACAGCTGCAAATCAAGGCCAAACATAATCTCATTCATCTTTCCAGCTAACTTCCATAAGAGAAGACGCGCTCAATGGGTGTGACTTTTATCAACTCAGGAACTGGTTAATATTAACTTAAGTTATGAACCATAAAGTTAAACAGTGTGGCTTTGTGACTGTGAAGATAAATTCCTTCCCACCACACCTTGTATGTCTGCGTCTACAATGAGCAAGTCAGCAGCTGCTAGGACCAATCCCTTTTCTAGGAGGGCTTACTCTCCACTTTGCGTTTCAAGAGCACAGCAAGAGAATGAGCAAAGTATACAGTTTTTAATTCAAATACCATGGCAAAGCAATGGCATATGGTGTGTCTTTGGATCATATGGCATTTTCAGACCTCAAATGTTACAGCATTCAACCTGGACACAGAGAATGTACTGCAGAGAAATGGAGATCCAGGCAGCCTGTTTGGATTTTCTGTTGCCTTCCACCAACAGCTCAAACCTGCTAGAAAGAACCTGTGAGTGAAAGCAAAACAATTTGTAAGTTTGGAATTAATCAAACGTTTGTCTTACTGCTTGGTATTTTCCACCAGACTGCTGGTAGGAGCTCCACGAGCAAAGCATCAGAACCAGGTGAATGTTACAGGAGTTGTTTACAAGTGTGATCTGACTACAACATCTAAGAGCTGTCAGCCCATTGAGTTTGATGATAAAGGTTTGTGTACTTTGTCTGAAGCTATATTTATCATTGTTTTATGGTAGCAAGTTTATAAGTGTTTAATATTCAATACAGTCCGCTTGACAGTGCCACTCTTGCTTGTTATTCACATGCATTTCTTAAAGGAAAATTACATTATGAACACCACAAAGAACCACATACAAACAATATAAAACACTTACCAGCTTAACAGCTATTGTATGCATCAAAGTTATTGCCATGTAAGTAAAATATAACATAAAATATTCGTATGAGTGTGTTTGATATCGGACAGCGACTGTTCATTGTACATGCTGATTGAGAATGATTATGGTTTTAGGGTAGAAACTGTCCATGAATTACTTGGTCCAAGTTTTTAGTGACATGCGGTGACTGCCTGAGGACAGAATGTAAAACAGGTGATAGCCAGGTGGAGAGCAGTCTTTAACATGGTGTTGGGCTCTGGAACAGTTGCATGCGATTGCAATATGTTAGAGAGAACAAAGGGGGCAGCCAATGACTATTTCGACTGTGCTGATGGCTTCTATAGATCTTTATTAGTTATTAAGCAGCTAGCATAACACAATGTGAGACAGTATGTTTATACACTCTCGTGTGGTAAAAGCTCACTAACAGCTTTCCCTTGGTGACTTTTCTTCAACATTTTCATAAAGTGCAAACATTGCTGTGGTTATTTTGTCAGCGTCTTTGATGTTGCTGGCCCGAGAATCTTTCTTGTTGTATGATTTCACCTTCTTTACAAGCAGACTCATCTCCTGAAACAAGTCCAACTACAGTGGTGTTATATGCAGTTTAAATAAAGAGTTGGTAGGACAGACTGTGTGTAGTCTAAATTGTATAGAGAGCACAGTATTAGGCTGAGAACACAGCACAGTGTGGGGAATTAGTGCTGAGTGAGATAATGAAAGAGAGGTGGTGACTACACATTTTGTCAATGGTTTGCAAGAAAACCTTTGATGGAAGTTCAGATGTGAGAGTGGAAGTCCAAATTTGCTGATCAGCAAAGTGACTAAAGCCAAATGACCCCCTGTGAAAGCTGGTTAGCTGTCCAGTTCGGGCAGTCACCCCCAGAGTGAGTGCAGCTGGTCTGTAATGTTCAGACTGTCAACTGAAGGCTTTTTTGCTTCAAGGATAACAGGGGCTGGTGATATCCAGGGTGAGAGAGGGGCATGTGCAAGAGACAAATTAAAGTTCATAAAGACAGGCATGATTTGGTTGAGTGCATTCTTGGGTATTCCATCAGAGCCAGTAATGATTGAAAACAACCAGTGTCTGCATAGGATTATCTCTGAATGCACCACATACTGAACCAGAAGCAGATAAACTGCAGCAGAAGACCACACTGAGTGCAGCTGACAAACCTGCGATTTTTGAGGGATGCCATCATGTGGCCCAAAGTTTGCAAGAAATATTTTCAGTACTTTTCACAATATATGCCAAAATGGATTAAGACAGGTTTGAAGGCAAAACAGAGTGCAACCTGGTACAAGCAAGGTGTAAGAAATGAAGGGGCCAGTGAGTGTATATTTATATCGCACCCACCTTGTCATGATCCTGGGTCCTTTTGGCCCAGCATTTTGTGTTTTCTCTTCTTGCGATTTTGGTTCTGTTCTTCCTCTGGTTAGTGTTTACTCTGTTCTGCCCGTGTGTTCCTGTATCTAGTCCGCGTTTCTTAGTTTGTGTCCTTTCATGTGTAAGTTCCTGTTTTATTGTGTAGGTCTGCGTCTTATGTGAGTGTTTTCAGTTTGCCTCCCTAGTCTCGTCACATTAATCACTCCCAGCTGTGTTCCACACCTGTGTGTAATCTCCCTGTGTTCTCTGAGTGTATTTAAGTTGTGTTTTCTGTCATAGTAGTTGCTGGTTCGTCTGTGTTGTTTCCCCTCGGTCTCCCTGCATCTCTCCATGTGTAGTCCCCCGGACCTCCCTGCATCTTCGTTTCTGGTTTGTTTTGTTAGTTTTACCCAGTTTAGGTTCCAGTTTCATGTTCCCAGTGCCTTTGTTGTTTGTTTTTCCCTTCGTTAATAAATACTCACCTGCACCAGAGCTGCCGCGTCCTGGGCCCTATTTCAGGAAGCCGGTTTAGTGCAAACTCTGAGTAAGTACACCCTGAGTTAACGAAAACTCTGGGTTTTCGGTTTCACAAAGCGAGTTTAGATTAATTTTGAGTGAGTTACTATGACGACACACTCCGTGAAGCTAACCTGCCCCCTAGCAGGTTTACTTCAACTAACCCTGACCTTCTCCGCCTCTTTGTCGGAAACCTGACTGTAGGAAGTGTCAGACATGGCGTGCTCCTTCCTTGAAGAGCCAGTAGATGTTGAAGCCCAAATTCTCCGCAGAGCTCTCCGCCGGGAGAGAGTGATTAGAGCGCGTTCGGACATTTTATCATTTCCTGATGATTTTCTGTGTGAACATTACCATTTTTCAGCACAATCTATAATTTATTTGAATAACATCCTCAGGCCTAATATTGCTCATGTGACACATCGCGGACATTCTCTCACTTCTGTACATATTATTTGTATTGCACTTCGTTTTTTTGCAAACGGGAGCTTTCTGTATAATATTGGTGACGCTGAGCACGTTTCCAAGGCTACCGTCTGTCGGGCAGTCAGGAATGTTACAGTTGCACTGAAACGTCTCCTGTACTCGTTTGTGGTGTTCCCCGGTCATAGACCCACAAGATTTATCAAAGAGGGATGCCACAAAATTGCAGGTATCAGGATGAACAAACTTAATTCATGATGTGGTGATACTTGAACTACTACTTAAATTTTACATTTATTTTCAGGGTTCCCAGGCGTGATTGGCTGTACAGATGGCACTCACATTCCAATCATTGCTCCTTCAGTAAATGAAGGAGACTATGTGAACAGGAAGTCTTTCCACAGCATTAATGTACAGGTACATAGTTCCCTGTAGCATTTCAAACTAACAAATTATTTCATTATAGTAATGGATGCTAATTTGTGTTCTCTGCACTGTGAAGATCATATGTGATGCTGCCAACATTATCACAAATGTGGAAGCCAACTGCTCAGCCTCTGTGAGTGGTGGTGGTGGAGGACCCCCACCTGTTTTTCGGGCCTCCGCTTTTTTTCTGTTGGCTATAACGGGTCACATTTGAGCATACAGAGTAAGCAAATATGTACTTGTAATGTGCTCAGATAATTTCAATAAGTGCTTACAGAGGGGAAATTAATGTAGCCTCTAACTGCAATTGATTTACATCGGACAAACAGACCAAGCACTATGGCTCATAATACAATTACACCTACCTGTTTGGACTATATTTTTATATTTCATTTTTACTTGCTGCCAGGAACGTTTGGGGCCTGTTGGGTTGCACCTGCGCTCACATCACATCACAAAATAAATGTATAAATAATAAAATAACGTGTTAAATGGGTGGAAATCCCTAGATCAATGTTTAAATTAACACTCACGCATTGACTCTGTCGGCTATGTTTTGCCATGCATGCTCCCTTTCTTTTGCAGCTGAGGCTGTGTTACTTTTTTCCGCAAAATTTGCATGTTATCGGCATATGCTGCCATCAGAATTTCGGCCTCAAGCGCTGTAAGATACATTGACCGCGCCTTCTTTCCCTCCGTCTCCATGGTGACTCGCTTAATCTGTGCTCCACTAATCAGGGCTTTATGTATCCTCGTGGCGCGCTTAACTTGGGGTTAAAGCAACTCCGCGTTGACTGAACTAATTGTTATCAGCCTTTCTGAAACCGAATATTCAGAGTTGGACAGTTCGGGGTTACTCAACCCTGAGTATCGTTTTTCACTCTGAGTTTTCTAAACCGGCTTCCTGAAATAGGGCCCTGGTCCTAAATATTCCACACGGCTTGCCCCGGCAAACCGTGACACACCTAAAACACTGTGCAGCAAAGTTATTAATTTAAACTCCTGTTTAATAGTCCAATACCATATATAACTACTTAAAATTGTGCCAAAATGTAAAGAAGAAAAAGAAGAGAAAACACATGCCAACACTTGCTCAAATTTCATTGTCAATATTTACTGAAGCGTTTAAGTGCAAAATAGAACAAGATATCTGTAGAATTTATCTCTAATGCTTTAAACAAAAGGCTGTTGTAAGGGTTTGGGGACTTAAGCAGCAAAGTATATTTATTTTGCTGATATAACTCATTTAATGTAAATCTGTTTCTGGGAAGTAATCATAAAACTTTCTCTCAACTAAACAATAACAGAGTGAGCTCAACTATCTGGTTTTACAGAGCTCCTCAGTAGTAAAGGCATAAATAACCAGTGGATGGGAGTTAGAGTCACGAGCCAAGGTCCTGGTAAAAATGTAATGGTAAGGAATGCATTCAGATTTTAAAGGAAATTTTAAGAAAGTCAACATCTTTTGTAAATCTAGCCTCCTTACCTTTTAGACTTGTGCGCATCACTATCAGGACTGGGACATAACCCCAGGTCTTTACGTTCCTCACCTGCTGACGGGTCAGTGCTACCTCTTAGGAGACGACCTGAAGGTGGGGGAAGAAGAAAGGAGCTGGCGGAGGGTCGTTTGTGATAGAGAACACTTAACAAGACGTCAAAAGGACCACGACTGGTTTGCCTACTGCCAGCAGGGTCATGGAGCATCTTTTGCAAAGGATAACATATCCCTTCTATTTGGAGCACCAGGAGCTTATCAGTGGAAAGGTACATTAGAGCTTAGCAGTCGAGTGGTTTGGCAAAATATATTCACTTATTCATGTTTGTTTTTTTTATGTTTCATGTTGTTTTCACCCAAATGATCCTGCTCAAAGGAATAGTAAGAATGGAGGTTTTGGACAATCTGGACATCTACAGTGTGGATGCTCGCGAGACTGGAAATATTGACGATTTTAACCCAAAACTCATTCCTCTTAAGTCAAACAGCTACCTGGGTCAGTTTCTTCTCTCTTGAATACTGGTTAATGGTCAAGCAAATGTTAAAATTAAGATATAAATTTTAGTGGTGTCAATGGATAAAACTCTTACAAAGTGAAACATTACAGTGAAACAGCATCATCCTGTACTATCCAGGATTCTCCATTGACTCTGGAATGGCCCTCATCAGGAAAGGTGAGCTGACAATCGTATCAGGAGCACCCAGAGGAGGTTACAGCGGACAGGTGGCATTTCTGAAGGCAGACCCTGTGGCACAGAGAAATCTGTCTGTGGAGCTGGTCCTCTCTGGACCAGGCCTGGCCTCCTCCTTTGGCTATGATTTGGCAGTGGTGGATCTCAACAGTGATGGGTAGGTTGAAGATTATGTCCATTAAACCACAGCCAGTGAAACAGGAAATATAACAGGTATGCACAGACACAAGCTTAACACCAAGACATCAGACATGGCAACAAGGAGGGAACACAAAGCTGTAGGACCAGGGCAGGCACAGAGATGCAGAACAGAAGGAACTCAAAATACTAAACCTGAGAACTAGAAATACTAGAACAGAAACCAAAATATTAATAGTGACAACCCTGAATAACAAATAATCAAGAAACACAAATAAAAAAGCTACAAAACACTGGGTCACCGACCCAGGACCATGACAATATTTTTATTGGTTGGTTCGTCCAACCCATCTATCTTCAAATTTCATGATGATAATCACCCATGTCCATGGTTCCTCTCATTGATTTATCACTAGAGTTCATTTCAGATTTAAAAATAAAGGGTTCCTGGGTGAGGTGTTCTGGGCATGTCCTACCGAGAGGAGGCCCCAGGGCAGACCCAGGACACGCTGGAGACATTATATCTCTCGGCTGGCCTGGGAACGCCTTGGTGTTCCCCCAGACAAGCTGGAGGAAGGTGGCTGGGGAGAGGGAGGTCTGGGCTTCTCTGCTTGGGCTGCTGCCCCGTGACCCGGCCCCAGATAAACTGAAAGAAGATGGATGGTGGATGGAAATAAAGGGTTCAGTCTGAGTATCTAATAGCAAAGATGCATTTCATGAAAAAGATTATAGATTTCTCTTTCTCTAAATTCAGAGAGCTAACATCGTGAATTTTACACTCAAACACACATTATTCATCACAGATTAGGAGGTACACAGTCAATATAACTTTCTGTTTCTATTGCTATTCAGTAGTATTCATAGTAATTGGTTTTATATTGTGTTCTTTTGCTGCATGCAGGTGGGATGACCTCGCTGTGGGAGCACCGCAGTTCTTTGTCAAAGATGGCGAGGTTGGAGGAGCAGTCTATATCTATATCAATAACAAAGGAAGAAACTGGGAGAATATTGTTCCAGTCAAACTTCTCGGACATAAAGACTCCATGTTTGGCCTCGCAGTAGAAAATATTGGAGACATCAATCAAGATCATTATGGAGGTTGTAACATTTTAACTATGTTTACAGAATATGAAAAAGTCACTAAATAACAATAGATAATATTACATACCCCAACCGCATTCACTACTGGGTAAACTACATCGAGTTATGTCATAAAATACACAAATGTAATAAACCACACTCATCCTCAGCACACAGCAGGAGTGTTTTATTGCTTATGAATTGGACTTTAAATTTGTAACAAATAGGTCGTCTCATATCTTCTCAAAGTAACTATCAGGGTTTCAATTTAAGCCCTAAAAACAACAGGAATTAAAAGACACAAAAGACAAGTGATACATGGAGTATACTGTCATTTCTGAAGATTTGTTATGTTAATTTCCAGTTTGGACTCTTCTAACTTGCCTTTGCATGATTAACAAATACTACACAGTATCTTAGCCTTCCTAGATGCTATTTACCAACAAATTACTTAGGGATAGGCCCTCTCTTTGACATCATACAGACCCAAGAGTAGAAAAAAAAAAAAAGCATGAAACAGAGTGGCTAAAGCAGTCTGACACTTCAGTCTTGGCTCACAGAGATGACTTTAGCCATGTTAAAAAAGAGGATGTTAAAAAAAAAAAAAGAGGATCTACTATTGTAGGTGCTCTTTAAATGCATTTTTGGATAAACCCCCAACTTTGTTGTCTCTGTGTTGTCACCATGATTTGTATTAGTGTTTGCCTGTGTTGACAGATATTGCAGTGGGAGCACCGTATGAGGGCTCTGGACTTGTATACCTTTACTATGGCTCTCCAGATGGTGTCAACAGAGAGCCTGGACAGGTGAATTTGCTGAGCTTCCTCAACATCAGCGATTTAATTCAATAATATATGAATATTTACAATACAAAAAAACTTAATATCTTATATCTTTATATCTTTTCTTGTTTAGATAATTTCATCACAATCAAAGAAAGTGAAACTGTTTGGATATTCTCTGACTGGTAACCTGGACGTGGATGATAATCAGTATCCTGACTTGGCTGTTGGATCTCTCTCTGATTCCATTTTTGTTTACAGGTATATATAGAGAGAGAGTTACTGCATAAGCACAAGATAAAAAGTAACCAATGATAAATGCATCCCAGCACTTAATTTTCTTTTTTTTTATTTATACTTGAAGCTCAGTTTAATTTTATGTTAAAACAATTTCTCTATTCTGGATAGAAGCTAACCCCGAGCTCAGTTTTATTTGAATAGACACATTTTATTATTCTGATCATTTTATTCTAATCATATTGATTTACTTTTTTAAAACAAATATGCTGTATAAATACTTTTAAACATGCACAATAATTTATTAATTGTTCACTTTCTGACAGAACAACTTCAATTCCACAAACCACTACATGTAGTTTCAGTGTTTTAAATTCCTCTCTGGTTTTGATTCTATAAATATGAAGGTACAGAAAGTCTCATTAGTGATTTTCTTTCTCATATATGTTGCAGAGCAAGGCCAGTGGTCACCGTCAGCACCGCTCTTAAGATTGCACCAAATGAAATAGACATCGCAAAGAAACGATGTGATGAGCAAATATGGTAAGATGTTCAAAAACACAAATTATAACATGCTCTATCTGCAACGCTGTTGGGTTTTAATTGAACATGTTTGCACAAACTTCAAGTTTTTTTGCAGTCGAAGCATGTTTTACCTACACAGCACATCCTGAGTCGTTCAACCCTAAACTGAGTAAGTTTTCTTCATTTAGTATTCCTTAAATCCATGGTTTGGAGGAATAGTAAAGGCTTATTATACGACCTTGATATGTGTACAATTTTGAGGACTAGAAAAATACATATATGTTCCCAGGCTATAAAAGGTACATATTTGTAGCATTTATTGTAGATTTTATGGTAAAATCTCAGGAGTTTGATCAAATACAAAACAATATCTTTAAGGGTTTATTGTTCATTGACAATTTAAGTTAACTGAAAAAAGTAATGCATTCTGATACATTTCTCTTTTTGACATGTTTATTGGTGCTAATGTGATGCAAAGGATAACAATGGTGCCAAGAAAGTTCTGGGATAAAACCTTCCTGTACCTGCTCTAGTTTGCATTTAGCATTTAAAGAATAATAGCTGGTCAATTTAAGTTGTACTGTGTAATTGTGTAACATTAGGTACATGTTGCTGTACATATATATGGGTGTGCTATAATCAGTTATTTACAGTAGAACTAATACTATGTTAACTGGAGTCAGTTGTTTCTAATCTGTTGAATTTACTTATCTATATTACAGTGCTCAACTTTACTTCTGATGCTGATTATGAGATGAAAAAATCAAGAGTCAGGGTCAACTTTATGGATTCATCTCAAGGAAAGCTGGAGCTGTCTGGTCAAGGGAGACAGGCCTGTCACAAAACTACACTCCGGCTTTTGGTACTGTTTCATTTCGTTAGAAGACATACAGTCTCATAATGCTGCTTGATTTTCAACACTTTCACTTCACTTAGTTATATTGGACTTTGCAGAAAGTTACTTTAAAATGAAAATGTTTAAAATGTAGTACAATTTACAGAGACTAATAATATTTGTCATTAGGTGTTATACAAAACCTTGTGGGTAAAAAAACAAAATCACATTAAATCACAGCAAAGCTTTTTCGTTCCAGAGAAATATCAAGGACAAGCTGCAGAATATTCCTATCTCTGTCACTGTGTCTCTGAGCTCCAGTCAGACAACCAGTGCTAGTGCGGATCAGCTCAGTTTTACTCCTGTCCTCAACCGCTACCAGCAGAAGACCACTTCCTCAGAGGTAGAAATGAGTTTATATGCAGTTCTAGTCAAATTTATTCAAATTTTGCTGGGTGTATGAAGACTTAGAGAGTAAAGTTTTTTGAATGAACTCACGTTTTTGCACATTACACCTGCATGTGCATTTAGTTAAAATATAATCAAAATCAAAGTTGCAGGATGTTTATGTAGCAACATCAGTATCATTAAGAATCAATCTAATACTAATGTGTTTTATTTACTAGTTGTACAGTGTGTAAACTGTACAGTTAACTGGCTTCAGCTGCAATGTCTTTGCAACTGTGGTCAGAAATATACACATATACTCAAGTTAAATTAAAAATGGTTGGTTTCCTGAAGACTGGTGGGTTAGCTTAAGACAAAAAAAATACTGTATTTATTTCAAAGACCCTCAGGGGGACCTGAGCACAGATGTATCAGACAGAAAATAATGAACACAACACAAAAAACAAAACTTAAATGAGCCTGTAGCATACTTAGTGTCAGTTTCACAAGAATAAAACTGTAACAATATCAACCCATAGATAAGGTAAAGCTGGTGTATAAAGGGGCCTATATGACATCCCCAATGTTCATGCAAAGGTGGGTCGATTCAGTTGAAGAGATATATTTCCTCTCATCTTCCAAGTATCAACCGGTGATTTGTGTCACATTTATTTTAATCCCACTGACCATTTTCAGTGTTTGAACAAGTTGAATAACCGACTTAAATTCAGAAGGTATCAGAAGTGAAATACAGAATATTACAATTAAAACTAGAATGCTCTTGACTGTATCTTTCTGTTTACTGCAGTTATTGAAATTGTGTGAATTAAAGCCCTTAACTCTGTTGTTGTGACGGATATGAACAGAATCCTGGAACCTAGCTGAAGCTTTATTAGAGAAGAGTTTCTTCTCTTTTTTTAACAGATCGTTCTAATAAATAGAGGCTGTGGCAGTGACAAAATTTGTCAAAGTAACCTGGACTTACAGTACAAGTTCTGTTCCAAAAAAACTCAAGCCGGTCAAGATGTTTTCAAATCACTGGCCAGGTAAACCAAAAATATCAAAGCTCAAAAATAAAGTCTTTTTTTTTTTTTTTTTTTGAAACCAAAACATGCGACCCCTCAGCCCAAGCTGCATTAACTTTTACTGTCACTCCTTTAGTGAGGATGGTGTTGCGGTCATCACTCCATCAGATGAAGACATAGCTTTGGAGATCACTGTGACTAACAAAAACGGGGACGATGCACACCAGAGTCGTTTGGCCATTACACTCCCAGACATAGTGCGCTACTCATCCTACTCGACCACTGCAGTGAGTACAGAAAAGCTGGTTTTCCCCTCGTTAGATCGTATGTTTTACTCCATGAATCCATATCCTGTTCCTTACGCTTCACTTTTAGATTCCAACTTTGATTTTCTACTTCCTACTTGCTGTGTTACTCTAAAATGTGATGGACAAAATATATTGGAATATTTTAATGATACTTTTGGTAATTTTGGTACTCCAAAATTTGATGTCATCTCCCAGGACTTTTTTATAATCACTGTATATTTATAGACAATGAGATTGCCTGCTTGTTTCCTCAGGAAAAACAAGTGAGTTGTGCAGACAACAGGATGCCAATTGCCTGTGACCTGGGAAATCCACTCCAAAGAGATGCTGAAGTGAGTAGCGTTGCTCAGTTTCTTCCACATCTGCATCACTATTTGCATGTTTGATGGTTACTTTGTTCCTTTCAGGTAACGTTTTATGTCATGCTCACAACTTCTGGCCTCACGTTGAGCACAAAATTAATTAACATCACTTTACAGCTGGAGACGTAAGTAGGCTGATCTGAAGGGATTATGTTACTAATCAGTGATCAGTGGAATGTAAATGACATTCAGTAAGCAAAAATAATAATTTACAAATAATCTTGGTTCTTCCTGCGATGTAGGACGAGTGAGCAGACCATAAAGCCAATACAGGCCTTTGCCAAAGTTGTTTTTGAGCTGCAGTTGCAAGTGAACGGGTGAGTTCTCCTTTAAATTAAAATTAACATTGCTTGTTCCATTTGCCATCTTAAAAATGATTGATTTGGCTTGAAGGATTTAAAAATGACTAATGTAATATCATAACGTGTTTCCTCATCAGGATCGCTAGACCTTCTCAGGTGTCAATTGGTGATATTGTAAAGGGCGAAAGTGCGATAAAATCTGTGGATCAAATAGGAAACTCAGTTCAGTATGAATTTAGGGTAAGGTGATATTTGGTACTAAACTTTAAATGAATCCTGCTGGTTATTTTTTTTTCTCATGGGTCCAAGAAAACATGCACTGTTTCTCTAATAGATAACGAATTTGGGCAGACCTCTAAAGCATTTTGCAAATGCATCACTGAGCATCTACTGGCCAAAGGAGAACTCTGTAGGAAAGTGGCTTCTCTACTTGACTCACATCACCAATGACGGTGTGCATTCTGTCCCCTGCTCACCTGTAGATGAAGTCAGTCCACTTAAACATGTAAAGGTAAGGAAATCCTGTCATTGTTGAAATGTAAGCAATGCTTTAATGGCAAATTAACATCTAACCGGATCATGTCTGATACCAAGGGCTGGCATGACACAGCAAGAAAAAGACGTGAGGCTGAACATAAAGCCCTCTCAACTGATGGATTCACATTTCTTCCAACAAAAAGAAAATATAAAACACTGGTAGGAGAATAATATTTTAATTAAAATTAAACATTAATTATAATAAATGAAAATGTTGCAGCAGTTTCCTTTTACTGCTGAACTGATTCTTTATGCAAACTGAGACTGATGAACATACACACCTGAGGCCTGCTGTCTTCCCTTTAGACCTGCTCAGATGGACTGAATTGTGTGGAGATACGCTGCCCTCTGCTGGGCCTGGACAGTACTGCCCGGATTGTTCTGCATTCTCGCCTTTGGAATGCCACTTTGGCAGAGGTGCTCCATTTCTGAAAAGTGCTATTGTAGTGTGTATAGCCACAGCAGGTAGCTGTTCTCAGGGAACAAGCCACATCATTCTATATCCCCCCCCTTCTAATCGGAATACTATCAAAATTAGACACTAGCTGGTGTACATAGTAGCTCATATAGAAACCTCTATTTCCAGAGGTGACACAGTGTTGTAGTGTTTAGTGTAGTACTGGACTCATGGTAGAAAATTCTAGGCTCAGATTTCATGGTCTTTGGCGTTTCTGTGTGAAGTTTCCTCTGGGTTCTCTGTCTTCAGCTTACGTCTTAGTTTAATTGGTGATTCTAAATCTACCTGAGGTATAAAAGCAAAGTAGATACATTTTGCATGAATATATATGAAAAGGTAAAATGCTGATTGTAGTGTAAAAGCGCTTTGAGTGGTCATTAATGCTATAATGCCAGTTCATCCTGTAAATTACCATTAAACACTAAAAATCACCAACAAAGTGAGCAAGGACAGTGTCAGCCGGTGATCGGCTGTGATCAGCTGATCACGGGGCCGGGGTTAAAAGAGAGACGCCACCCACCTGTTCGCCGCTCAGACATCATTCTCTTC